GAGTTCTAGTCCCACCTTAGGCATGGAAGCCAGCTGGGAGACTTTGAGCCAATCACCAGGAGACGGTGAGTTCTAGTCCCACCTTAGGCATGGAAGCCAGCTGGGAGACTTTGAGCCAATCATCAGGAGACGGTGAGTTCTAGTCCCACCTTAGGCATGGAAGCCAGCTGGGTGACTTTGGGCCAATCACTAGGAGACGGGGAGTTCTAGTCCCACCTTAGGCATGGAAGCCAGCTGGGTGACTTTGGGCCAATCACCAGGAGACGGTGAGTTCTAGTCCCACCTTAGGCATGGAAGCCAGCTGGGTGACTTTGGGCCAATCACCAGGAGACGGTGAGTTCTAGTCCCGCCTTAGCCATAAAAGCCAGCTGGGAGACTTTGAGCCAATCACCAGGAGACGGTGAGTTCTAGTCCCACCTTAGGCCTGAAAGCCAGCTGGGTGACTTTGGGCCAATCACCAGGAGACGGTGAGTTCTAGTCCCACCTTAGGCATGGAAGCCAGCTGGGTGACTTTGGGCCAATCACCAGAAGACGGTGAGTTCTAGTCCTGCTTTTGGCATGAAAGTCAGCCAGGTGACTTTGAGCCAGTCATTCCCTCTCAGCCTCCCCACCTCACAGGGTTGTTGTGGGGAAAAGAGGAATATGTGTTTGATATGTTCTCTGGCTTGAGTTATTTGTAAAGCAATAAAGGCGGCATTTTTTTTTAAAAAAAAGTCAAATCAAATAAATAAAACTGCCTTCGTGCACGCAGTGAAATCTAAACTGATTGTTAGCAGGGACTTGGAAATGGGAACGTATTGTTCCATAGTCAAAATAATTGCATATTAGTTTTCCATGCGCAACTTAAAAGACGAATATCGTAATGCCAACCCTTGAGAGTTGAATCATAACCGTATGTCGGATTCACTTGAGCACCAACAACCAATTTTACGTGAGATTCAGGACTGAACTGACTTTTTATTGGATCACCCCAAGAAAATTTAGGGATGCTATGCTCAAGGCGTTCAAATAGTAGCGGGAAAGTCCAGCTCCCTCTCCGTGTTAGGCCAGGTTAGGAAATAAGAATATAGAAATAGAGCCTTGGTAGTACAGTGGTCTAAAGCACCCTGTTATTAAGACCAGCTGCCTGCAATTACTGCAGGTTCAAATCTCACCAGGCTCAAGGTCGACTCAGCCTTCCATCCTTTCTAAGGTGGGTAAATTGAGGACCCAGTTTGTGGGGGCAATAAGCTGACTTTGTATAAATATACAAAAGGATGAAGGCTGTTGCTTAACGCATTGTAAGCCGCCCTGAGTCTCCGGAGAAGGGCGGCATATAAATCAAATTAAAAAAAAAAGAAGAAGAAGATAGGATCGGGTAAAATAGAGGATTACAATAAAATAAATTAGAATTAGAAACTGAATTAGAATGAGTAGGGTAGGATAGGATAAGATAGGACAGAATTCTTTATCGGCCAAGTGTGATTGGACACACAAAGAATTTGTCTTGTGCATAAACTCTCAGTGTACGTACAAACAACAAAGCGATATAATCATAAAATACCAATAAGAGAAGGTAATAGGAAATCAGGGCTGGCTCAGGAATTCTGGGAATTGAAGTCCACATGTCCTAACGGGGCCATAATTGCCCAACCCTGATCTATCTATTGTAACAGAAACTTGAAAAATGGTGGACATTTTAACTTCCCTCCTTCTTCTGCCAAAGAGAATCAAGGCAGGGCTATCTTTCCATTTCTTTCTAACACCTTCCTTCATTCCCCGGGGTTTAATTCAGATTTTGCCAGCTGCTGTTTCCTTCTCCAACCATCTCTGTGGTCCTTTACACTCTACAATCCATGTTTATTATCCCGCTCTCAATCAAACCTACTTGATCAAAGTGTGATTATGTGAAAAAGGAAGTACTAGGTACGTTGTCAACTTCCTAGAGGCAGAATAAAAGTAAAGTATCAACAATATAAATCAAATAAACGGGAGAGTTCCTAATCCTAACCCTGAAGTGAACTGCCTGTTTTATTTATATTTTATTTAGATTTCTTAATTGCTCATCTTCCTTCGGGTCTTTTTCTCTACATTCTTATTGGAAAAAGTCTTGCCTTCAATCAATATTTCACTTACATCTTTGTAATTGTTTGCCCTCCCTAGAAAGCTAACTAAACATTTCTAAAATAAACAGATTTTCTACCACCACCATTGGGCATTTGGGCTTTATTTGCTACTCTTTTGCTTTTTTTTACAACTGTTTTCCCCTTTATTGGTTTTCATTCTCTAAACCCCTCTCAATACGTGTAAACCACCTGCTAGTTAATACTGCTAAAATACAGGTGGGCAATTTTTTATTTCATTTCTTATGGAAAACCCAACCACCCTCTACAGCAGTGGTCACCAATCGGGGGTCCGTGAAAATCTTTTGGTGGTCCACAGAAAAATTATTTGCATTTTTTATATTGCACTAAATACTATCTACCTTTTTAAAAAATTCTTATTAGTGATCCACGGGATTTAAAATTATGAATTTAGTGGTCCCTGAGGTCCGAAAGGTTTGGCAACTTCTGCTCTTCAGTACACATATTCAGGAAAGAATGCCACACGTTTAAGCCCTTCTCTATCCCAGCATAACATTCAGTGTGAATATTATAAGTTTCCACAACCCCAAGTTTAGGATATCCCCATACAGGAAAACCAAGAGGTTCAAATACCAAAGTTAGTCTAGCCTCTGTCTTCAGCAGTGCACAGACAACCTACAGACCATGGCTAAACTGACATCCTTCAGCAGCGACAATGAGACTCGAAACAGACCTTGGTAAATTTTCTTTCCCCAAACCGCAGCTGGGCCTTTTCCGTCCTAAGGCACGGAAAAGTGCAAAGCCTAAAACCTAAGGGCAGGGAGCAGCCAGCAAACTCTGGATGCTTTCCTAAAACGAAGGTTAATTATTATTATTATTTTTTAATTTAGCATTTGGCATCTCTACAGAGGTCATGCAATCACCGGTATGCAAACACTAACAAAACACATTATACACACAAACACAAAGATAAGTTTAAGAGGAGCATCAGACTCTATGGCACCATATTATGGCAATCTTATCATGGTTTTAGCTTAATATTTTATTCATGTGTGTGTGTGTGTGTATTTTACAGAGACACACATATATATGGTATATATGTGTGTGTATATGTGTGTGTGTGTGTGTGTATATATATGTCTTCTTAAGTTTTCGCGGGTGTGTATATGCAAAAAATTAAAATCTCGGGTGTTTTCCCGCGTCATGTTAAATAAGTTAGTTAAAATGTTTAAAATTCTGATTAAAATGCTAGCTTAAAATCTTCTAAAAATCCTTACAGAGCACTCTGCAAGGTCCTTTAAAACCTTAGCTAAAATCCTATCAGTACTTTAAAAGTTTTTCTTATAGCAACGTTTCGACAGGCTCACAACCCTGTCATCTTCAGGCTCTTATCTACAGGGTTGTGAGCCTGTCGAAACGTTGCTATAAGAAAAACTTTTAAAGTACTGATAGGATTTTAGCTAAGGTTTTAAAGGACCTTGCAGAGTGCTCTGTAAGGAGTTTTAGAAGATTTTAAGCTAGCATTTTAATCAGAATTTTAAACATTTTAACTAACTTATTTAACATGACGCGGGAAAACACCCGAGATTTTAATTTTTTGCATATATATATATAAATATATATATATATTTTCTCAGCCAGGTTTTTCCTATGTAAATCAAGATCTTTATACAGCCAGAGTTCAGTGAAATCTCATTCACTAGTTTTTAGGCTTTATCAGACATCAAACCAGCATTTTGCTGTCTGTTGTGAGACTTAAGGGAGACAAACAGCAAAATGCTGGTTTGATGTCTGATAAAGCCTAAAAACTAGTGAATGAGATTTCACTGAACTCTGGCTGTAAAAAGATCTTGATTTCTGTAGGAAAAACCTGGCTGAGAATAATACACATAAAGACCTACGAAAAGAGAATTATATATATATAATTATATATATATACACACACACACACATACACATACATACATACATAGATATAGATATATAGATATATAGATACATATAGATATATGTAGGTCTTTGGTTATTCGGGTTTTTCTCCGCGTAAAATTGGAAGTGTCTTGGTGACGTTTCGACGAAGTCTCATTCGTCATCTTCAGGCTGGTGTTTTCGGCTTCGTGCTTCTAGGAGCATTGCATGACGAATGAGACTTCGTCGAAACGTCGCCAAGACACTTCCAATTTTACGCGGGAGAAAACCCGAATAACCAAAGACCTACAAATACCCGCGAAAACCTCAGAAAACATATATATATATATATGTATGTATGTAGTATGTGTGTGTGACTAGGTGGCTCAGTGGCTAAAACACTGAGCTTGTCGATCAGAAAGGTCGGCAGTTCGAATCCCTAGTACAGGTCTCCTGCATGAGCAGGGGGTTGGACTAGATGACCTCCAAGGTCCCTTCCAACTCTGTTCCTGTTATATACACAAACCACACACACACACACAAATGAAGCTCTACTAAGGATTATCCCAGGGCAGGAGACCACCAGGAAATCCCAGCTTGCAGACTCAGCTGACCTCGAGTCAGACAATACCACCAGGATGTGACAAGGCGTCTTGCTGGACCCAAGAGAAGACTTCCCCCTCGAGGGCAGAGAGAGACCCCGTTACCCCCCTCTTTCGGGCCACGCCCACCTCTGGTCCGCAAACACCTCCGCACCCCCCTCGCCAGCGTCCCCATGGTTCGGCTCGAGCATCCCCCCCCCTTCAGCGTCCCCATGGTTCGGTCCGCGTACATCCCCCCTCCCCCCGCTGCTGTCTCCATGGTTCAGTCCCAGCACACCCCCGCCGGTGTCTCTATGGTTCGGCCCGAGCATCCTCAGCTACATGGTTCGGTCCGAGCACCCCCCTCCGCTGGTGTCCCAATGGTTCGGTCCGAGTAACTCCCTCCCCCTCGCCGTTATGCCCGCTCGCCCTCCGCCCCGCGTCTCACCCAGAGACATGTCGATCTTTTCCAGCGTTTCTCCGCCGCTGTTGTTGCTGCTTCCGCCGCCTCTCTGGAACGAGGACGCCCCAGCGCCGAATCCGTTCATGGCCGCCGCTGCTCTCGCCGCTACCCAAGACGCGAAGCAAAAGCAGCAGCCGACGGAGAGGGGGCGGGGGTCCTTTTCAACCTTCAGCGCATGCGTCAATTGCGCCGTGCGCCTGCGTATTCGGGTCGCGGCCGAGGGAGCCAGCCGCTTCGGCGCGTGCGCGTAGCGGTTGAAGAGGGGCGCGGAGAAGGGGTGGGAGGAAGAGAGAGACGAAGTTCGTTGCTCTGGCTTCTCCGCATGCGCAGGGATTGCGACGCTAAGCGGCGAAGAAGGGTGGAAGGGAGCCCTGTGCCCCCTGCAGGCGGGGAGGACTCCGCGCAGCCAGGAACCTGGCTGGTATTTATATAGGGATAATGAATGTGGTTTATTTTGACTGAGTTTAAACCATGGTTTAAATCAGTAGCACCACGATGTAACCTAGTTACAGGCTGCAACCCTGAGCTACAAAATATTCTCCTTTAATTGAAATCAGGGTTTCTTTGGGAATCCATTTTGTTCAATTCCCAGAATTTTTTTTTTTTTTTGCAAAAAGTTTTTTTTTCCCCCAAACATACAAATTACATCCTTTCGGAACAGAGCTTTGATCCGGTCATCACTTTGTTCAATTTTTAACAAAATCTTTAACAAAATTTTATTTATACTATTTTGCCATAGTACTTATTTCTAAATCTTATATCACATATTCAGCTAATACTGTTATAGAAATGAAAGGCTGGAAAACATTCCTGGGTCAGACAGATGCATTTATTTGCGCAAAGGTTCAGTGCAGTGTTTGGTTCTTGCAAATCTGAACGAAGACGAGCTATGATTTCACGATTTTTATATGTTTTCAAGACAAGGAGTTCTATGTGAGCCCTTCCAGCTTCCATATATGGTTACATTGTAAATACATTATACTTACATTACACTTTACTAATTACCAAACCATTACATTTATTTATTTATTATTTATTTATTTATTATATTTCTATACCGCCTTTCTCCCGTAGGACTCAAGGCGGTGTACAGTCAAGAAAAATATAGACACACAAACATCATAAAATTGCTAATTAAAATTGTTACTTAGTTTGGTCAATTAAATAAAACCCAGAATTAGATAACATTTAAAAAATCATTCACATGTTCATATGTTTAGCCCTGCCTGTTGGAACATCAGGGTCTTGAGGGCACGGCGGAAAGCACGGAGATCAGGGATATTCCGTATCTCCGGGGGCAGTTCATTCCAAAGGGTTGGAGCCCCCACAGAGAAGGCCCTCCCCCTGGGAGTCGCCAGTCGGCATCATTTGACTGACGGTACCCTGAGTAGTCCCTCCCTGTGAGAACGAACTGGTCGGTGGGAGGCTATTGGTGGCAAAAGACGGTCTCGTAGGTACCCAGGTCCTAAGCCATGGAGCGCTTTAAAGGTGATAACTAACACCTTGAATCGCACCCGGAAGACCACCGGGAGCCAGTGCAGCTCGCGTAGGAGAGGTGTTACATGGGCGTAATGAGCTGCGCCCATAATCACCCGCGCGGCTACATTCTGGACCAGTTGGAGCCTCTGAGTGCTCTTCAAGGGGAGCCCCATGTAGAGAGCATTACAGTAGTCCATACGGGAGGTAACTAGGGCATGAGTGACCGTGGGCAGGGAGTCCCGATCCAGAAAGGGATGCAACTGGCAGATCAGGTGAACCTGATAAAAAGCCCCCCCTGGCCACGGCCGTCAAATGATCTTCTAAAGATAACCGTGAATTACATGCTAGTTAATAAAATTATTTTGGCTACACATTTTTACTACTCCATCATTTTACTAATTATTAAACCATTACAACTTTACTAACCCATCACTTTATAGTTTACAACTTTCCTTTAAGTGCTGTAATGTTTAAATGCAGAAATTTATGGCTATACTTTAAACAATAAGTAACTTTCTGTTTCCTATGCATGTCCTTTCAGATGTTCCCATATAGCTGTATTTCCATAGTTTTGATTCTATTAAGATATATAGAATCAGTGTGTTTGACACAGTGCCATAGGTCAAGTAATTATGAGGAAATCCATGATGTAATTGCTTAGCTTCTTCTCTTTATCAGAGTCAGTCATCCACCAGAACACCATTCTTAGTTTTCCTGATGGATGACAGCTAGGTCCTCTCAGAAGATATATTTACCAATAATGGAGTTCAGCTGCCTCTAACAAGCACGTTTCTTATAATAATGTGAATAGAGAGGTTCTCTCAAAGTTCAATAAAGAAGGTTATTCAGAGTTCATGGATTTGATTTTATGTATATCTGATTTGGCATGATTATTTCTTTTATTCACATTATTTATTTGCTATATTCACCTCAATACCATCTTTAAAAAATTAACACATATTTACTTAATCAGAACAATTACCCTTCTATTAACCCACCTTAATTCTTAATTCAATTAATAATACAACAATTGTTACCCTAAATCCTCACTATTAACAATACAATTCAAACATATTTATATATCATCATGCTCACTAAATCTTTATTCCATTATTACTTTATCAAATTTAAATCTTATCTTTTTAATTTTGGAAATATAGCCATTTAACATTTAAACCTAGTTCTTAGTTCAAATAATGCTTTTTAACACAATTTCCCAATTATCAATTCCCAGAATTCTTAAGAGGGTCATCATCCATCTTAAAGTTGAGAAAAACTTTTAATGTTGTATGCCGCCCGGGATCGTTGGGTGAGTTGGGTGGCTAAACAAAAATAATATTAAATAAAAACAGGTTTATACAACTCATTTAACCTACGTGAACTGAACCATGGTTTAATTCAACTATTGCAGTTTTCACAATGAAGCTTGGGGCTGTTTGTGGCTTGTTAGTCCCTTTTTTTTTTTTAATTTGATTTATATGCCGCCCTTCTCCGGAGACTCAGGGCGGCTTACAACGTGCTCAGCAATAGCCTTCATCCTTTTGCATATTTATACAAAGTCAGCTTATTGCCCCCACAAACTGGGTTCTCATTTTACCCACCTTAGAAAGGATGGAAGGCTGAGTCAACCTTGAGCCTGGGGAAATTCGAACCTGCAGTAATTGCAGGCAGCTGGTCTTAATAACAGGGTGCTTTAGACCACTGTACTACCAAGGCTCTTATAATAGTTGATAGAGTTAGGTTAGAACTTTGAGTGTATGTGGTTTCCCTGATACACAAGTTGCCTTTTACACGACGTCGGACAATTGTTTTGTGTATAATATTGTGTATTTATTAATCAAATGCAGGTAGTCCTCGACTTACGACCACAACGGAGCCCAAAATTTCTGTTGCTAAGTGAGACAGTTGTTAAGTGTTTTTTGGCCCCCATTTTATGACTTTTCTTGATATGTCTGTTAAGCGAATCGGTACAGTTGTTAAGTTAGTGATACGGTCGTTAAGCGAATCTGGCTTCCCTGTTGATTTTGCTGGTCAGAAGATCACAAAAAGAAGATCACGTGACCCCCCTCCCCCCAGGGACACTGCAGCCATCGTAAATATGAATCAGCTGCCAAGCATCCAAATTTTGATCACGTGGCCTCCGGGATGCTACAACGGTCGTGTGAAAAACGGTATTGTAACTTTCAACGGTCACTAAATGGACTGTCGTAAGTCGATGACTACCTGTATATATGGCCACCCATCTCATAGAAAATAATCCTGGGTGGCTTGTAATAACCTTATAATAGATATAACTGCCCAGAGCATTTGATAGCAAGACGGGCAGCTTATAAATTTAATTTTAAAAAGTTCTTACAGAAAAACCATGACACATAATTATTAAAAACAGTAAAAACTATAAAAGCAGAACTCAGTGAGAAAAGAAAAATAACAGACGGGATGTCAGTAGTAACAGAGCCACAATCATCGTGTGAAGCTTCAAGTCGTTCTGAAATCCCGAGGGCCTTAAAATTTGACAAATGGTGACAAAGCTCAAGTAGCAGTGTTATTTATAATTACATGCGGTCCTCGACTTACAATAGTTCGCTTAGTGACCTTTCAAAGTTACAATGGCACTGAAAAAAGTGACTTACGATCGTTTTTCACGCCATTGCAGCATCCCCATAGTCACGGGATCAATATTCAGACCCTTGGCAAACTGGTTCGTATTTATGACGGTCGCACCGTCCTGGGATCACACGATCCCCTTTTGCAACCTTCTGTTCTGCCCCAGCTACAGACCCCAAAGAACGCAGCACACACAAAGTTTGTACAAAACTTAAATTTACAAAAATAACTCAAGTCTTTTCCAAACAAAGGCTGTTAATAAACTTCCTTAACAGCCTACAAGAAAACAAAGATAAAGTAATCACAATCTTATTAAGGTTGGCAGAAAGCCCAGAAGCAATTTGCAGAGAATCCCGACGCGAAGGAGAATGAACTAAAGTTGTTCCCTACAAATTGCTTCAGTCAGTGTTCCTCCTTAAATAGGCTAAGGGAGTGGCCAATTAGCCCCAAGCCTTACTCTCGAAGAGACCTCCTCCTGAGGAGCCACTCCTGCCTTTGGGCAGCTCTGCGCACCCGTGTATTGAGAAGAGGCTCCTCCTCTTCGTCCTCTTCACTTATGGAAGCTTCTGGAGGTTCTGAAGGCCCTGGCTGAATCCCTGCCTCTGGCACCACATCTTCTCCAGCCTCCTCATTGTCTGACTCGAGTGCCAGCTGCAAAGGCTGCTGGCACAGCACCACACCAGCCTCCTTGCTGTCGGAATCAGCTACTAGCTGCACCGGCTGCTAACGAGCCACATCTTCTGACCAGCCAAGTCAATGCGGGAAGCCAGATTCACTTAACATCCGTGTTACTAACTTCATAACCGCAGCGATTCCATTAATAATTGTGGCAAGGAGGATCGTAAAATGGAGCAAAACCAGTCGTGAAATCTGAACCAGTTTAATCCTGGTTTGCTGGCTGTGCATGAGCAGAAGATGCCGAAGAGGTTGTAGAAAAAATGCTTTTAAAAGTTTTTTTAAAAAAAATCCTGATGATCGCGCGGCTCAGCTGGGCATGGGTGGGGGGGCTCCGGGGATTTTTGCTACCGGTTCTCCGAACCACCCGCTGCCATCGCTACCGGATCGGGCGATCTGGTCCGAACCG